AGGAAAGTTGGCTCGTGCGAGCGCGCGCGCTGCAGCGTCCCTCCAGTGAGTCTTCATCACCGGACCCCCCGCCGGGCTTGGCTTGCCGTCTCGTGGAGACAGAAGCGGGATAAAAGCTGCGGGAAGCTTCTGCAGAGCTACGAAGAAAAATGGTTGCGCTTTTTTTTTTTTTTTTTTTTCCTTTTTCCTTTTTCTGGCCAGGCAAACGACGATTCCAATGAGAAAGGTTTGGGATATGAAACTTCCCATAAAGTGATTATTGACAGAAAAGATGAATTCACAAAAATAATCAAAAGGTTAAATCGGATTAAAAAAAAAGAAAGAAAAAAAAGCTCGTTTTATTTTAGAGACAAACCCACACTGCAAAAACACACAAAATATTACCAAGTATTTTTTATTTTAGCTTCTAGTGCAAATATCCTAATACACTTGAAATAATAAGACAAAACTACTTGAAAAGCAACTTTTCATCAAAATACAGGAGCTTGTTTTAATTCCTAAATATGGACATAAAAGTACTAAAGTAGTAGTTCCACTGTCAAATTATTTCATGTATAACATGGGAAAATGTTCTGTTATGGGTTAAATAATCTACTTGTACTTTTGTATCAATATTAAGGAATTATTTACTGAAAACAAGCTCCTCTTACTTGGAAGCTTGTTTTAAGTCAATAACTTCTTACTATTCACAAAAAAGCATTAGTTCCATTTGCAGATTATTTCACGTGGAAAAAATGCTTAGTTATATATGAAACAATCTACCAGCGGGACTTTTCGTTATATATTTAGGAATTATTGACTTAAACAAGCTCCTATATCTTGCTGAAAAGCTACTTATAATTTAGTTTTGTCTTATTTCAAGTGTACTAAGATATTTGCACTAGAAACTAGAATAAAAAGACTTGGTAAGTTGTGTTTTTTTGCAGTGCACAGGAGAATTTTCAGCCCAGTTTGTGATCAAAGTCATCAACTACACTGTAATAAAAACAACACATTCAGAGAAAATTCACATTTTTTAACACTATTGCTAAATTATATCATTAAATACCTTCCTGTAACAAGACTCACTTTATTAGACAGCAGAAGTTCATTGCATCTGGTTAGAATAGACTGAAAAGCATGATATTTCAATAATGGTTCATGTCTCAGTTGAAACCAGGTCTTCATTTGTGTTTCCTTTTATTGTGGATGACAATCCAAAAACGTTTCTAAAGGAAATATTGAAGTTGCTGGTCATGGTTGTGCTGCTGTGGGAGACCCAGCGGATGTGTCTGTTGTTACAGAGGGAAACTTCTCACTATTCACACTTGTGAACGGCTGAATCTCATAACCGCATCCTTCATTTGTATGTTTTTCATTTTCATGCATTTACTCTCAGAGATGGAGCTAATTAAAAGTCGGGAATTCCTCGTGCAGATGAGCGGTCACATGTTAACGGCAGCGGGCCGAACACACGACCTTGAGGTCACCCAGTGCTGAATTACGTCTTGCTTTTAGGATTAGGTAATCTCTAAACTCCAAGAGTCAGCAAAGTTCATATCATTCTCGTTTTGAACGAGAAAATAACGTGAGCTTTATGCTTGGAAATAGAAAAAAAAACAATTAAATTACAAGTTTTATAAAAAAATATATATATTTTGAATTAGACGACAAATGTATTAATCTTGGCAAACATTAAGTGTTTAGAACTGTTTACTCTCACCATAAATCCACGCTCAAATATTATATATCCCAAAATACACCCACGCCTGCCACCGCCACAGAGTAAAACGTCTGTGTGCGCTTATTTAGATTTGAAAATAACATGGGGGGGGATGCATCCCAGAATGCCTCGTGATTTTTCCAGCTGGGGCATCAAAACCTTTCCGTGCCCACGATATCCTCACTTGACCGCCGCGCGCTTCATCTCATTTCACTTTTTTGGAGAAAATCTTTTACAACAACCTCACTCACAACCCCAGCGCCACCCAGGAAAAAAAGAAAGAGAGAGAGAAAAAAAAAAAGGCAGAAAAATGCAATAATGTATTATTTATTGCTGGTCCTGACACACCGAGGTTGGCTTGGCAGTGCCGGAGGAAGGAGGAGGGTGTGAGGGGGGGCTAGCACAAATACGCTTATGCAAATGCAAGGAGAGAAAGAGAGAGAGAGAGACTGGACAGCGTCCCGGGCGAAACCGCCGCAGCGCAGCCAAGCCTGCCGGAAAGGAGAGAAGGAAGGAAGAAATGGGGGAGATGAAGATGAGGGAGAGAAAGACAAGAAGGCGAGGAGTGGCGAGGGGCGTAATGAGCCCTGAGAGACAGTGGGGGCGGAGGAGGGGGGAGTCTTTCCATCATCCTTCCAGTGTCACTGCAGCCTGGGAGGACTGTCGCACATGATTAGTGTCCGCTTCGCTCCTTTAACTGTTCACACTCAGGCAGATAGACACTCAGCCGCCCCCCCTCACACTTTGTAAACACATTCTGCCCGGGTAAAAGACGACGACGAGCCCGGTGGCTCCGATTCCCACCGGGCCCCAGCGCCGACCGCACGGATGAGCTCATTACGACACGCTCGTCCAACAAACGGTCGAAAGATTTTTATTTTTTTAAACGTAGCAACACCGTAACTATTGGACAGAAAGCGCAAACACACAAAATCGTACAAAGTAATTTTGGTCTAGTGTAAATATCTTAGTACACTTGAAATAAGATTAAACTGACTCAAAAGTAACTTTTTAGCAAGATATAAGAGATTGTTTTAAGGCAATAATTCCTTAATATTGATGGAGAACTGGTCTTACTGGCAGATTATTTCACTCACAATAAAACATTTTTCCACATGTTTTAAGTGAAATAATCTGCCTTTCGTACTAGTACTTTTTTAAATCAATATTAAGGAATTATTGACTTAAAACTAGCTGAAAAGTTACGTTTTTTTTCCCATATTAACATTTTATTTCCAGGTAACACATTAAATAAATTTGTTTCTTTGGGTTAAATTGATTTATTCTAGTACGGCTAACAGACTGGCATAACTTTTTTTTTAAAATTTGTTTTCAGCTAACAAAATACAATATGTAGAACCTGTTGAAAAGTGAAAAACATTTTAAGTCAATATAACATTTAGAGATGGGAAAACTGTGGTTTTTAAACTGAAACTCATTCATTAAATCCTGAAAGAAAAATTGAAACTGTGATATTTAAAACTCCAAAGAGCTAAAAACAATAAAGGATCATTAGGATATAATAAACAGTTTGGGTTCAGCTGACATGTGGGACCTTAAACTGATCAGATACAGTAACATATTCCAACAGCTTGACTTGAAAAATGACATTTTAGAATTTAAATCTTCAGGGGGAAAAACAATACATATCACAAACAAGAGACTTAAAATAATAAATCTTAGAGCGTTAAAGTAGACCTACACTGTATTTTGGTTGTTGTTTTAACTGTAAAGCGACTGTGTTCACGGCAGTTCCTCAGGGTTGGAACAATGGGCTGGTGTCCCTGGAGATTTCATGTGAGTGAAACTGGCATATTGCATAGAGTGCAACCTGTTTATAGCGTGGAGCTGCAGGCTTCCAGTGTATTCTTGTGAAATCTACAAATAGAACTGCGACATGAGTTAATCATTTATATATGTCGCATTTAACGGTCCTACTGAAAGGCCTGTCGCAATAAGCGATAAATCAATTAATCGCATGATAAATCGGAACAAGCTCGTTAATTTCCATTTGCGTGATTTATCATTTTTCTTTTCTCTCTTTCTACCAAAAACTAGACGTCAAAAGTTTTCAGTCTGCTGCTTTGGTCTCAACTAGTCCCTCTTTTTTTTTCTTTTAAGGGCTTTTTTTTTTTTTTTGCAGAGACTCCATAATTTGTTTTCTTTGCAGTTTCTGTTGTTTTGCTTATTTATGTTGGATATCTAGAATGTCTTCCAGTTCCAGTGTTTAAATATTCATTGGATTTAATGTGTACGGATCTTTGAGAATGCCTTCTTGCATTATTTTGCCACTATTAATGGATCACTTTAAAATGCTCTCAAAACATCAATATTATCGTTTATCGCGATACCTTCTGGGACGATTTATCACCCATAAAATGTGTTATTGTGACAGGTTTAGCTGTCAGTACTGCCTGGCTGCACTTTACTTTAACTGTAGTTTTACTTTACAGCTAAAATACCAGAGCTACTGGGTAAATTGTGTGTCACTGTCTTACAGTTTCGACGATAAACAATACACAGTTTGGTTTAAGTTCTGCCTCCTTTTATTTTAAAACTTTAAATAAGTTAGATTGTTGGAAAAATTTTGGTTTGAAAAAAAAGTGCATTTGTGGTTAAAAGAAAAGGAGGCTTCAGGGGAATCAGCTGCACTGCAGAGACTGAATAAAGGGATAATAATGACAATAATAATCCACCAAACTCATGTTGCGCTATTTAGGACGCTCAAAGACGCTGAAAGATAGAGAGCAGGTAAAGAAGTCTGGATGTCTTGTCACCAGGCTGGAGGACCCGTCCTCTGACACTCAGCAGCCACACACGCACGCACACGCACGCACACGCACACACACACACACACACACACACACGTCAGCATGGCTGCAGATCTGACCTGAAATCAGCTCATTTTCACTTCTCTATCACTCAGCGTCCAGTTTTCAGCTTAGCTTTCATTTTGCTTTCTGAAAAGATGCTTCTTATTAACGAGAGGGAATTTGCCGTTCGTTTCTCTCTGTCACACACACGCACACGCACACACACACACACACACTCATTACCTCACACACTCTGATCGTCCTGTGCTTGACCCAGCGTGAACCAGCTCCATGCCTCACGTCATTCTGACCTCCGACTTCACATTTAGACACATTGGTATCAGTTGGAGCTGCGCTGAACGCTGGACAGCTTAATGTGTCGTTTAGCAAGAAATAGGAGCTCGTTTTAAATCAGTAATTCCTCAATGTTCATGAAACAGTTCTAGTTTCATTTGCAGATTACTTCATGTACAACATGGGAAAAATGTTTAATTATAAATGAAGCAATCTACCAGTGGAACTACTGCTTTTTCCGTTATATATTAAGGAATTATTGACTTAAACCAAGCTGCTATATCTTACTGAAAAGTTGCTTATGAGTTAGTTTTGTCTTATTTCAAGTGCATTAAGATATTTGCACTAGAAACCAGACCAAAAATACTTGGTAAGATTTTTTTACTTTTATTTTGACACTTGCTTTTCTGAAATAACCACAGTTTCACTGTTGCTATAGTTTCAAAAGTAACACGTTAACAATTGAACATTTTTAACCTTCACAAAGACACTGAAGGTCAGGCTGAGTCAGCTTCATCAAACCTGACAGCTTTACGGACACATTCAACAAAAATGTCACTTTGTGTAGAATGAAGGCAACCGGGTTGACGACTACTCAGCAATATTTCACCTAATGAAATATGTTTTTGTGTAACATGATTTCTGCAAATTCTTCCCTGAAACAGTGAAAGCAAACGGACCATAAATGTGAAGAACAAAGCAGGTCATGTTTGATCTGAACGTGAAAGACGTGCCGCCGTCTAACTCAGGGTTATGATTAAATCTTAGATGCTGGAATTCATTTTGCAGCCTCTTCATTAAGCCCACACATTTCCATCCAAACATTTTGAATATTTACACATGCACATCCCGTCATGTTTGCAGTTTTAGTCACAAGTTAAAAACGAGTTCATCATTCATGTTCAGAAATCAATGAAGCCGTCTTCGGGTTCCAGTTTATTCTCTTTGACGTGTCTGCGTGATTTACGGACGCGGCTTTTGGCTCTTATGTTTTTTGTTTTTTTTGGGCTAATTTTATAGGATAATTATGTGAATGTAAAGGCGTCTGGTTCAGCTGAACACATATGAAATATACAGACACGTATGGAGGCTGAACCATACACTTATGATGGCCTCGCTGTAACTGAGGCCTATATTTAGGTCGGCTTCTCAGTGGGAAGCAGCAACAACTGTCAGGCTGCCTGAGCAAACATTTTATTTACCGTCCAGATAATTAAATATGTCTTATTTGAATTCATTACATAAGAGAAAACAATTCAAATATATGAAGTTGTGAACATTTCCTCTCCTTTCTTAAATTTTGTTTGACCCCCGCTGACCCTCACTCGTAAATAACACATCATAAACCAAAAATGTTTTAATATAAATTGCTTAATTTTACAGCACAGTGACTTTCCTACCTGATTCAAGACTTTAAAGTTTCAGGTTATAATAATAATAATAATAATAATAATAATAATAATAATAATAATAATAATAATTTTGGATGTTCTAGTGACTGGAAGAAAAAAATATTTTACGCTGGATTTGGAGATAGAAACATTTCTATATATTTTTGTTTAAGGATAAGCTCTTAGTGAATATTATTAAGGATCTGGAAGATGAACAGATCAGCTGTGATGTGTCCTCTTCTGTTAAATAATGTGAGGTCTGGTTTTAGACAGGCTCTATTAGATCAGCTCAAAGTTAACACAATTATTTTGCTATATAATCGTCTCACCCAACTGTTGGAGAGTGTGTGAGTGTGTGTGTGTTTTTAAGAACTGTTTCTGTGCGTAAAAGCTGAGCCTCTCTAAGAAGTGGAGCTGGGGTTTATAACAGATGTAGTTTCACTTGTTAATTGCCGCTTTAACGGATCCATATTAGAGCCGTGTGGAAGTAGGAACTTTGTGAGGTCTCACAAAACCAGCTTTTCCTTTTTTTTTTTTTTTTTTTGTGTGTGTGTGTGTATGCGTGTGTGTGCTAACGGGCCTGTAGAGCTCCTCCGGTCAGCCTGTTTAAAAAAAAAAAAAAAACTGCTGCAGACTCAGTCCTGCTCTCTGTCTTCTCAGGCTAATAAACGTGTTATACGACCGGCCGGCTTCCAGCCTTAAAGCCTGCTGGAGCTGAGTAAAGAGAGAGAGAAGAAGAAGAAGAAAAATCAAATCACCCCGCTAAGGATTCCTCTAAACCACATAATGTGACCACAGAGACTCGCTGTTCTTGGTCACCGCCGCCTGATGCTCCACAGCGGAGGGCTTTAGGTCCGGAGCGGGAACCTGCCAGGAGCCCCGGCGGCTAATGAGAGGAGGGGGCTCTGGGTGGAGGAACGGGGGTGGGGGGAGGAATTACTCCAGATAAAAAATATAGTGCTTCTTATTCAGCCCTAAGTTGACTGGGACGACCACCGAGAGTTAAAAAAAAAAAGAAAAGAAAAGTTTTAAGTTCGATTTTTGTTTGTTTGTTTACCATCTTTGCCCCTTTTAGGGCTCACAAAAAAGCAGTGCTGCTTCTAATTAGCGCTCCCTCATTCAAACCGCAGCGCAGACAGCTCAGTGCTTCAACAACAACACAAACAACACGCTTCCTGTAAGGGTTCAGGGACACAACTCCATTCTTTTCCATGTTTCTTTCTTCTTTTGCTTTTCTCTTTTTATTGGAGCGAAGAGGCGCGCGACGTAAAAAAGAGCGTTGAGTTCCGTCTCCCGAGTCCCACACCGAACCGAACCGAACTCATCACGATGAAATCAACATAGCATTAAAGTGAAATACCTGTTTGCTATTATTATTATTATTATTATTATGTATCTAAATTTCCAAATGCACAACCTGTGCTTTTAAACCGTGTATATATGAAGGGTCTAATTGTGGCGGCCGGCTTACTGTACCGCATAAGCCTGTACACTTTCAGTCCGGAGTATGGAGGACACGTCTGAACCTTAATCTGAGAAGTTCGGGGTTGAAAATCTGTGAGCGGAGGCCTGACGCTGGCGCGCGCGTTAGAGCCGGGCGCACTCGAGGCAGCGGGAGGATTTCACGAGGCAACTTAAGCGGCTGCTATTGCAACACTGGCTACGGCGCAGTCCCACATGTGGAAAATACATGAAACGGGCAAGTGAGATGAAAATTAAAAATAATATTTAAAAAAATAAGTATGAATGAAGCCGTTCACACACTGCGGAGACAAACTGAATAATAATAATAATGATAATAATAATAATAATAATAATAATAATAATAATAATATGTATTTTGGGGGGAAGAAAGGTAATTTTTTTAGTTAATACTTTTGGATATAAATTACGTCAAAAGACACGTAAATTAATTAGTCAATCATTTATTTGCTTACTCAGCACTAACTTTGTTCAATTCCAACTAAAAAGACAGAAAACACACACAAAAAAAATCTGAACTGTGACGAATGAGTGAATTCATACTGAAATTATAAACTTTTTAAAGACGTATCAACCTTTCCGAGCCAAGACGCGTAGTTCAAGTCTAATGAGTGTAAAGTGCCGTTGCTTAGCTGAAGTCTCCACAAGTTTCTCAACTACGAGTGTTAGAAGAGTTTTTTTTTGTTTTTGTTTTTTTTTTGACCTAACGAGAATATTATCTGCCTTAATGTCAAAGTTAATATACTTGATTAAAAATTCAGATAAATGTAGTGGATACTATTTATTGCATCCCCCCCCCCCAAAAAAAAATGTAGTTTTATGCTGAGTACAGTGTGGTTGTAGAAATAGAATACGAAATATGAAATTATATAAATAAATAATAGGGTTGCTCTTTTATTTATTTGTCAAATTTAAGCTGTAAAACTGTTAACAGTCTTTTTGTTTATTTTTTTTCCACTCCATTTTACCTGCATGTATGTTAACACAAACAAGGCTGGAACACACATTTCATTGCGCTTTGCGCCCCTGTCTGCGCTCTAAGCGGCCTCGTGCCTGACCTGTTCTGCGCGGGGTCAATTGATTATCTTTACGCACCTGTCCTCTCGGCATCAGGATGTTTCAATCTGTGGAGTCTGCTCCTGTTTCACAGCGAAACGCGATAGATGAGAGTCACGGGTGGTTTACGGCCTAAGTTACCCAAAGGTCGACTGGGTTTTTACGCACCAAAGTATTCAAGACACACACCGGGACTGCGTGCGTCCCTGGACGCTTCAAAGGTGCAAACCGAGTCTTTTTTTATTATTATTAATTTAAATCAACGCTTTCTGTGTCATATAGCTGTGTGAGGAAAAAGCAGGGCCTGCACGCGTTCCTTTTTAAATGAACTGCAACAGTTGTGTTTCTCTGCCCTGTTTTTTTGCTGGAACGCAGCCGCAGAGGAGCAGATGCATTTCTCGGAGTTAGACTGCGGAGCATATGCGCTCTGAGTCAGAAGCCTGGGGTCCATAAGCCTGGAGCCACGACGCAGAGAGACCTGTCGGGGACTTTTAGCGGTGTTTGGTGCTTTTTGTTTTTAAAGGAAATTTAATATATATATATATATATATATATATATATATATATATATATATATATATATATATATATATATATATATATATATATGTGTGTGTGTGTGTGTGTGTGTGTGTGTGTGTGTGTGTGTGTGTGTGTGTGTGTGTGTGTGTGTGTGTGTGTGTGTGTGTGTGCGCGCACTGACCCGGGTCCATATCCAGACAGTGCGCCGGATCCTCTCCGTCCGTGGCGAGGCTCTCCATCGACAACTCCAGCTCCTTCTCCTCCCAGCCCCGGAGCTTCCTCTTCTTGTTCGAGCCGATCAGGGCTTCCACGGAAAACGCGTGGGCTCTAGAGCTCAGAGCTGCGGCCGATCGCCTCCTCTCACTCATTTCTCTCAAATCCACCCGAAAGTTGGGCAGGAGGAGGAGGAGAACGCGGCGAAAATTCACAACAACAAGAAAACCCCGCCACCCCCCGAGCCCCCCAACCCCCTCACTCCGTCCGTCCAAAAGCAGCGAGGCAAAACACTGAAGAAGACGAAGAAAGAGAAGAAGAAGAGGAGGAGGAGGAAGAAGAAGCTGCACACGTCAGTGTTTACAGCAGGGCGCAAACTCACCAAGTGTCCAAAGTAATCCCAGTAAACTTTGACTAGAAAACGGAGAGGGTTTTTTTTTAGCGTTTGAATGCGGACGCAGCCATCGCTGACTGCGCGCGGACTGATAGTTCGGATGCGGTCAGCGGCTTTTTGCGCGCCCTGCTCTCTGTCCTGCTTTTTCTCTTTGTGCCCCACTAACTTCTCTCTGATTGATACTCACTTCTGGAGGATTTTTTTTCTTCAGGCGCACAGAGAGAGAGAGAGAGAGAGAGAGAGAGAGAGAGAGAGATGTGGGGAGTGGGGTGCGGGGGAGGGGCGGTCTCCTTCAACTCTCTGTCAAAAAAAAAGAAGAAAAAAAAAAGCACCCAGCCTCCAATGAGGAGTCAGACCGGAAAGCCAGACGGACAGTTCTGTCCAATGGCGGCGCGGCGGAGACGTGAAGTCTGGAAAACACTGAAGGACGGCTTGAACTGATGAAACAGGCACGTTGGAGCTCATACAGCGGAGGGGAATTAAAATTTATTCTGCAATGACCTCATCCGATAATAAAATGTTGCCCTTTTTATTATTATAATGCATTTCTAAGTTCCCCAGCATCACTGTTTTTTATTAAAGATCCCGCGGCTTCTCCTCTGAGTGTCCAAAATTGGGGTTGATTATTATTATTATTATTATTATTTTACTTTTTCTGGGTGAGGGGTTGTGAGGGGTTGGGGTATGTAGTTGCTCCTGCGCGTCTGATCCGCTCCAACACCTACATTACCGCCTCGACTCACGATTTAAACTAAAGCTTTTAACATTTCGCTGATTTTCACTTTATATTTTCTAACCTGCGTCTCTGTCCGCCCGCAGGCAGGTCGCTGCTTAAAGGGAAAATTACCCCCCCCCCCCCCCCCCCCCCCCTGCGTCACCTTGCCCACAAACACTCCCCAACAAC